GTTAAGCTCATTTCTTTCTAGGTATTCCGCCACTCTTCTCCTGATAATCTTCTCCATGACTTCGCATACTATACATATCAGTGACACTGGTCTATACTTTAGTGCTTCTTGTCTGTCTCCTTTTTTAAAAATTGGCTTACATTTGCTGTCTTCCTTACATCAGGTAATCTCCCTGTTTCGATAGATGTATTTAATATTGTTGTTTGGGGTACACATAGCACCTCTGCTCCCTCTCTCAGGACCCATTGAGAGATGTTATACGGCCTTATCACCTTTGACATGTCTAGCTTGCTCAGCAGCCTCTTCATTTCTTCATTGGTTGTATGCATTGTGTCCAACATTTGGTGGTGTACCCCACCTACCCGTCCTTCTGGAGTCCTTTCTGTCTCCTCTGCGAACACTTCTTTCAATCTCATGTTGAGTTCCTCACATACTTTGCGGTCGTTTCTTGTGATCTCTCCTCCTTCCTTCCTCGGCCTGATTACCTGGTCCTTGACTGTTGTTTTCCTCCTGATGTGGCTGTACAACAGCTTCGGGTCAGATTTGGCTTTCGCTGCTTTGTCGTTTTCATATTGTCGTTGGGCCTCCCTTCTTACCTGTGCATATTCATTTCTGTCTCTCCAACTGCTCTCCTTATTCTCCTGGGTCCTTTGCCTTCTGTACTTCTTCCATTCCTGGCTTATTCATTATTCCTGTTTCCCTTGGGTACAAACGTCTCCTCAGCTTCCTTGCAAATTGTTGCCACATATTCCATCACCTTGTTTACTGACTTCCCTGCCAGTTCTCTGTCCCACTGAACCCCGTTAAGAAAGTTCTTCATTCCCGAGTAGTCCCCTTTTTTGTAGTTTGGCTTCATTCGTCCGGCTCTTCCTGCTTCCCCCCTCCACTTGTAACTCTACCGTGTATTCGAATCGTAAAACCACGTGATCGCTGGTCCCAAGTGAGTATGTGTACTCACCTATTTGTACTCACCTATTTGTGGTTGCAGGGGTCGAGTCACAGCTCCTGGCCCCGCCTCTTCGCTGATTGCTACTAGGTCCTCTCTCTCCCTGCCCCATGAGCTCTATCATACCTCGCCTTAAAACTATGTATGGTTCCTGCCTCCACCACATCACTTTCTAGGCTATTCCATGGCCTGACTACTCTATGACTGAAGAAATACTTCCTAACATCCCTTTGATTCATCTGAGTCTTCAACTTCCAATTGTGACCTCTTGTGTCTGTGTCCCATCTCTGGAACATCCCGTCTTTGTCCACCTCGTCTATTCCGCGCAGTATTTTATATATGTCGTTATCATGTCTCCCCTGACCCTCCTGGCCTCCAGTGTCGTCAGGCCGATTTCCCTCAACCTTTCTTCATAGGACAATCCTCGTAGCTCTGGGACTAGTCTTGTTGCAAACCTTTGCACTTTCTCTAATTTCTTGACGTGCTTGACTAGGTGTGGATTCCAAACTGGTGCTGCATACTCCAGTATGGGCCTGACGTAGATGGTGTGTGTGTGTGTGTGTGTGTGTGTGTGTGTGTGTGTGTGTGTGTGTGTGTGGTGTGTGTGTGTTGTGTGTGTGTGTGTGGTTGTGTGTGTACTCACCTAATTGTACTCACCTAATTGTGGTTGCAGGGGTCGAGACTCAGCTCCTGGCCCCGCCTCTTCACTGATCGCTACTGGATCCTCTCTCTCTCTGCTTCCTGAGCTTTGTCATACCTCTTCTTAAAACTATGTATGGTTCCTGCCTCCACTACTTCACTTGCTAGGCTATTCCACTTGCTGACAACTCTATGACTGAAGAAATACTTCCTAACGTCCCTGTGACTCGTCTGAGTCTTCAGCTTCCAGTTGTGTGTGTGTGTGTGTGTTGGGGGAGGGAACGTGCAGGCGTATTTGGTCGGGTTCGTGCCGCTGCTTTCAAATGTATTTCAGAGTTTTTCAATAGACTTTTTTAATGCCTCTAACACTAAATGAACTTCCGCTCAGAGAACAAAAGATAGAAGGAAAAATATTAACTTGAATCGACTTTCACTGATAAAAGACCAACATTAAATATAAAGAGAAGTTCTTTGTATAGAAAAACAAGACTATATGAAGAACAAGAATCACAACAGTGTGGCTGGAACCATTCACAATAATTAATATTTGGGGAGGGAAACTAGAAGTTTCGGTCCTTGCAGGACCATTATCTAATCAAAAGTTGTAACTTGACCGATCCAAACCATTACTCCATTTGCTGCTGCTAGTATCTCGTTACAGGAATTTAATATAATTATGAGCGTATATATATATATATCTATATATATATATATATATATATAATATATATATATATATATATATAATATATATATATATATATATATATATATATATATATATATATATATAAAGAGAGTGGTGAAGCAATGTAAAAAGAGAGCAAATGAGAGAGTGGGTGAGATGTTATCAACAAATTTTGTTGAAAATAAGAAAAAGTTTTGGAGTGAGATTAACAAGTTAAGAAAGCCTAAGAAACAAATGGATTTGTCAGTTAAAAATAGGAGAGGAGAGTTATTAAATGGAGAGTTAGAGGTATTGGGAAGATGGAGGGAATATTTTGAGGAATTGTTAAATGTTGATGAAGATAGGGAAGCTGTGATTTCGTGTATAGGGCAAGGAGGAATAACATCTTGTAGGAGTGAGGAAGAGCCAGTTGTGAGTGTGGGGGAAGTTCGTGAGGCAGTAAGTAAAATGAAAGGGGTAAGGCAGCCGGGATTGATGGGATAAAGATAGAAATGTTAAAAGCAGGTGGGGATATAGTTTTGGAGTGGTTGGTGCAATTATTTAATAAATGTATGGAAGAGGGTAAGGTACCTAGGGATTGGCAGAGAGCATGCATAGTTCCTTTGTATAAAGGCAAAGGGGATAAAAGAGAGTGCAAAAATTATAGGGGGATAAGTCTGTTGAGTATACCTGGTAAAGTGTATGGTAGAGTTATTATGAAAGAATTAAGAGTAAGACGGAGAATAGGATAGCAGATGAACAAATAGGCTTTAGGAAAGGTAGGGGGTGTGTGGACCAGGTGTTTACAGTGAAACATATAAGTGAACAGTATTTAGATAAGGCTAAAGAGGTCTTTGTGGCATTTATGGATTTGGAAAAGGCGTATGACAGGGTGGAAGGGGGGCAATGTGGCAGATGTTGCAAGTGTATGGTGTAGGAGGTAGGTTACTGAAAGCAGTGAAGAGTTTTTACGAGGATAGTGAGCTCAAGTTAGAGTATGTAGGAAAGAAGGAAATTATTTCCCAGTAAAAGTAAGCCTTAGACAAGGACGTGTGATGTCACCGTGGTTGTTTAATATATTTATAGATGGGGTTGTAAGAGAAGTAAATGCGAGGGTCTTGGCAAGAGGCTGGAGTTAAAAGATAAAGAATCACACACAAAGTGGGAGTTGTCACAGCTGCTCTTTGCTGATGACACTGTGCTCTTGGGAGATTCTGAAGAGAAGTTGCAGAGATTGGTGGATGAATTTGGTAGGGTGCGCAAAAGAAGAAAATTAAAGGTGAATACAGGAAAGAGTAAGGTTATGAGGATAACAAAAAGATTAGGTGATGAAAGATTGAATATCAGATTGGAGGGAGAGAGTATGGAGGAGGTGAATGTATTCAGATATTTGGGAGTGGACGTGTCAGCAGATGGGTCTATGAAAGATGAGGTGAATCATAGAATTGATGAGGGAAAAAGAGTGAGTGGTGCACTTAGGAGTCTGTGGAGACAAAGAACTTTGTCCTTGGCGGCAAAGAGGGGAATGTATGAGAGTATAGTTTTACCAACGCTCTTATATGGGTGTGAAGCATGGGTGATGAATGTTGCAGCGAGGAGAAGGCTGGAGGCAGTGGAGATGTCATGTCTGAGAGCAATGTGTGGTGTGAATATAATGCAGAGAATTCGTAGTTTGGAAGTTAGGAGGAGGTGCGGAATTACCAAAACTGTTGTCCAGAGGGCTGAGGAAGGGTTGTTGAGGTGGTTCGGACATGTAGAGAGAATGGAGCGAAACAGAATGACTTCAAGAGTGTATCAGTCTGTAGTGGAAGGAAGGCGGGGTAGGGGTCGGCCTAGGAAAGGTTGGAGAGAGTTGGTAAAGGAGGTTTTGTGTGCGAGGGGCTTGGACTTCCAGCAGGTATGCGTGAGCGTGTTTGTTAGGAGTGAATGGAGACAAATGGTTTTTAATACTTGACGTGCTGTTGGAGTGTGAGCAAAGTAACATTTATGAAGGGGTTCAGGGAAACCGGCAGGCCGGACTTGAGTCCTGGAGATGGGAAGTACAGTGCCTGCACTCTGAAGGAGGGGTGTTAATATTGCAGTTTAAAAACTGTAGTGTAAAGCACCCTTCTGGCAAGACAGTGATGGAGTGAATGATGGTGAAAGTTTTTCTTTTTCGGGCCACCCTGCCTTGGTGGGAATCGGCCAGTGTGATAATAAATAATATATATATATATATATATATATATTATATATATATAATATATATATATATATATATATATATATATATATATTATATAATATATAAAGTTGATTTCTTTGCAAGGTTACAGTGAGATTATGAAATTACAATTATGGGGTACAGTACAAAGAGCCACTATCATGCCTAGGCATTATGGGCAGACTTAATGGCTTATATATTACTTAATACTAAAGAAATTGATCATAGTTTAAGTTATACATCTTCTTTGTTTATAGTAGACAGTAGTTTTACTCTAATTACAATAGTTTCAATAATGAATACTGAAATTAAATTATGGGAATTTAGCATTGTGAGTTGTTGAAAGTAGTTTATAGTATAATTAATTAATTGTTGCAGCCATGGTATTTATGGTTAGTTGTAAATTGTTCCAATGACAGTTCTGGGACAATTTTGACGATAGTTTTCCTTGCGAGACAAATGGGTTGAAATAGGATTGCGATTATTCAAATTACTCGACTTTAAATAATTCCCCAAAGAATAATCCTACAGGCACAAGAGCCTACCTTCGACAGCGGTGAAGGCGAGAGTGCAGACGCCACACAGGAACATTGACGCCTGACAGAGGTACTGGCGTCCCACACGACATTCTGTGTTCTTCTGCAGCACCACGAAGCCGAAGGCGCAGCACCCGATGACCCAACCCAGTCCCAGGTACGTCTGTAGCAGCAAGACTGACACCTCTCCCAGGCCCTCCTTCTGTGCTTGGTGCGCCTGCATGAAGAGAACAGCAAAAGAGTAAGAATGAACATAGGAAGAGAGGAAGAGAGAGAGAGAGAGAGAGAGAACACAAGAAACGCAGACAGCTGATCATATTTCTCAAACGAGGACCCTTGATGGAGATGAGGGACTTTTGATACAAAGTATTTAGCTTGACTTGCCCTTCCTTAAGATAAGATTTTGTTCAGATTTTGAACCCCGGAGGGTTAGCCCAGGATGCGACCCACACCAGTCGACTAACACCCAGGTACCTACTTGCTGCTAGGTGAACAGAACAACAGGTGTAAGGAAACACGTCGAAATGTTTCTATCCCGCCGGGAATCGAACCTGGGCACTCCGTGTGTGAAGCGAGAGCTTCGCCAGCCAGGCCACGGGGACACCTTGGTTAAAACCTGATTGCCTGCCATTCCTCCAGGTGTTGTATGGCCCCCTACGGGTTTAGCGTACTTCCCATTAATGCAATAATTTATTTTCTACTTCGCATATTAAATATTATATAAAGTATCATCAAAGAAAAAAATGGTGTTAAAATTTCAAGTTATCAGATTAATTCAGAAATGATCACATGAGAAACAGTATTTTAATCTCCACAATTTCTTCAATAAAACTGGAAAATTTTCACCTACTTAGACAAAATTCAAGAATTTTTTTCTTGATACACCGATTTTGGGCCCTGTTGGGGTTTTAAATAAGTGGTTAGTTACATAAGGGTTTAAAAGGGGAATTCAGGAAAAAAATAACCCGAATGGGGGGGAAAGGGGGGGGTTAAAGGTTTTTGCCCCGAGAAAAATTTAATTCCCAGTCCTAAAATTTCGTAAATTTCTTTTTATGCTTTATTTTGTTTTGTTTCAGGTTGGATTGCCGAAGAAAAAAAAGGATCTCTTGCCACTTCTGAATAATAATGTTTTAATTTTTAATATAAAAATGTTCTAAGTTATTATTTTTTAGTTGAGTTGTTTTTTTTTTACCCCTTTTTTTAAAATTTGTAAAAAATTTTTTTAAAATTGTTTTTGTTTTAAAAAAATTTAAAAAAAAATTTTTTAACATCAAGGATTTTAAAAAAGGGGTATAGGTTTCAGGGGTTGAGCCCTAGAAGGAAATTCGATATATCCTTTGGAAAAAATTCTAAAAAAGGGAAAGTGGAATGGCTTTTTCCCCTGATCAAAAATCTCGGGGACCCTGGATTTTTAACCTTTTACTAAAAGGAGCTCTTATTTTTTAAAAAAAATAATATTTTTAATTAATTAAATTATTATTATAAATTAAATATTTTTTAATTTTTTTAAAAAAGATTCACAAAAAAAGGGTTTTTAGAAAAAAAAACCATCTGAAAGGAGAAATCCAAGCTTTGGTAAAATTAGGAAAAAAAAAGCCAAGGGAAATTTGGGGGACCAAACCCCTATTGGCCCAAAGGTCCCCTCCCCCGGGGCCCCCCGGGAGGTTTTTGAAAAAACAAACTTTTCCCAAAGAAATTTTTTTAAATTTTTTTGTATTTTTAAAAACTTAAAACTTTTTTTTAAAGGTTTTTTTTAAAAAAAGGGAAATATTTTTTTATAAAATTTTTAAAAAAATTTAATTTTTCCAGAAGGGGTTGTATTTTTTTTAATTTTGAAAAATCTTTGGGGTTAAAAATTTTCAAATTAGAGAAAATTTAAATTTTTAAATTTTTTATGTTTTTTCTTGTTCGAGTTTGCCCGTTTTTGGACCGTAATAAACTTACGCAAATTTTACAAAGGAATCTAAAGAACTCCACACATTTTGGGGGGGAATATAAAAGTTTTTTTTTTTACGGTATAAGAGAAACAATTAGATATTAAAAGTCTTAAGAGAAGGCATATCAACCAAGTTTTCATTGGTAAGGGAGAACAACATATTTTTTAGTTGAATAAGCTGGTTGTCCTTTTTGGGATTGTAAAAGTATTTCTAGCAACTTTAAAAAAAAACTTTATCAATTACATTTTTTGGGGTATTTTAAAATCATTACATATTTCATAAATTTTGGATATTTCCTAATTATGAACTTTTAAGTTAGTTTAATTTTTATTATGCACCCCTACCCATCCTGTGGGCGGTAGTCAAAAGATTAAAAGGTACATTTTGTCCAGGAACGGACTCCAAAGTTTTGATAGTGAGCAGTTACAAAGGTAATGAACTAGATCTGTCATAATCATGCCAAGTTACAAAAGGTAATAGCTCCAGTAAGCTGGTCACACTCATGAATAATTGCAAAGGTAATGAATCATAAACACATTATCATGGGGAATTTACAAAGGTATGAGCTCCAGGTAGGCTGGTCACAATCATGACAATTTCAAAGGAAATTTGAATTTTATAAAACACGTTATGACATGATTACAATCATAAAAAAAATTTAAACAGAGTAATGAGCAGTTAACAAACATAGCGGGGAATTATCATTGCCCCAACAAAGATGTTGCTATGCCTGTCTCTCTCGGTAGACAGCCATTGCAAACAGCACAAGTTGCCCTGGGATCTGCTGCTTGCACACCCACCATAGACCCTCCCAAGGGGTTCCAAGAAAGCCAGTGACTCCGTTAGCAGCCCGATGGAGAGCTCCCCTAGGAAACATGTAGCGTTCCGGTACGCCAAGTTGATTGAAGATCCAGGCCCTCGTGTGCACGGAGTTGAAGCTTGAGAACTGAGTTACACATGCTTGGCACACCTGACAGCTGCCACACGGTCAACTCCACGATGTGTCCCTGTAGGGGAAGTTCCCTGTGAGCCCGGAAACTCCCTGCATGCCATCGCTGACATCGTGGTTTAGGGGAGAAGTACCCTCTACTGTATGGTGGTGCGCTGGGAGTTGGGTTGATGGGGCGGGGAGAACGCCAGTTTTTGGGCGTTATAAGGGTCACTGTTTACTACACACGCCCTCCCCCTCCCCCCCCCAGCGGAGAGGGGGGGAGGCGCTGATGGTCTGACTCGACAACCAAATCCTCTGAAACTGCACAACACTTCAACTATTTAGCTAAAACGATGCACTGGGATGTCCTTTTCGCTGCTCTGGAAATCTTCCAAGCATTCACACTGAGTTTCGTTAAGTAGGGACTGGTCGCCTTTTTGGGGAAGGAGCTACCTTGAAAATCCCCAGCTAGCCCGCTAAAACAACCCGCCTTGTCCATGTTGAGCCTGTCTGATCTTTTGAACTCAGGACTACAAATTCGTAAAGCTCTCAAAAACACTGATGAGAAAACAGACAGTTTGACTCTATCTTGATGCAAGAATAATAGTGGACATATGAACAGTTATTTGTAGGTTTTCTGTAAATTTTAAATTTGAATTCATTATTACCCTTAATAATTAAAACATCTAGAAAAGGCAATGATTTATTTTCTTCAAACTCAACAGTAAAGTTTATAGAATGGGCTAAGCTTTTTAAATTTTTTCCAAGGAAATAGTGTATATCTAAATTTTTGGGCATAAGACACAAAATATCTTTAACATATCTGAACTATTTAGCTCTATTAGGGAGGATTGTGTTAAGCAATCTTGTTTCAAAAATTCCATGTATGGGTTTAAACTAAGAAAAAGTGAAAGAGGATTTTCCCATTGCCATACCAAATTTCCCTGAGTGTAAAACTTATCATTAATACAAATTTTGGCATCAACAATGCAAAGTTTAATAAGTTTTAATGATAGTAGGAACTGGCAATGGTAAATCATAGTTAACGAGTTCTTCAGATAAAAACTTAATAAATCATCAACAGGAACTTTCGTAAACAAGGAAGTAACATCAAAACTAACCATTTTAAAAAATCATTTAAGTCGGGTCAAGGAGCTTAATTTATCAACTCATCTATGTTGTTTTTAACATTAAAGTTAGAAATTTTGCCAACAATAGGGCCCCAAAATACAACAAGTCATTTGGATAATTTATATGAAACTGACCCAATGGAGCTAAATAATTGGTCTGACGGATTCCCTAGTTTGTGTGTTTTATTAGTCCATACATGTAAGGTAAAGATGGATTAGTTGGAAGTAAATTGTTGACTAATTCATCTTTGCCTTTCAGTAGAAGTTTTATTGTTTTATTGAAATTGCTTTTAACGGTTTCTAGGGATTTTTCCTAAGTTTAGAATAGGTTTCAGTTCATCTAAGAGATTATTCATTTTTTTTGGTAATCATTTTCTTTCATAATTACTATTGGCATTTATTTTGTCTGCTTTAGTAAGGCGCAAATTTTTATTGTTATTAAGTGTAAACATAAGGGCTTAAAGAATCTTTGAGGCAATTGGGAATGTTTTGGTTTTTAAAATAGAGCTATATAAACCCTTCCTTTACTAATATTAATTTCATCAGAGAACAAATCAAAAATTTTTCAAAGTTTTCAAAAGGGTTTTTGCAATTTTCAACATTATTAAGTTTTTTATGAAGTTGCAAAACTTAGGCCAAAACCTAGAGCAGCAGTTGTATTTTTGTCTAAAATTTCATCTGATAAGTTAATTACAAAATTGTTATTAGCATGCTTTGTCCAATCACTATTTTCAATTAAAATGTCTAATTTCTTTGTAGTTTTTGTTTTGAGTTCATTAAAAATTCTTCTGAGTTTATCATAGCAATGATCCAACATACTGTGTTTCCATTCTGATTAAAATATTGAGAAACAAAAAATACTCTTTTAATCAGGTCATTCCATCAGAATGGAAACACAGTATGTTGGATCATTGCTATGATAAACTCAGAAGAATTTGTAATGAACTCAAAAACAAACTACAAAGAAAATTAGACATTTTAATTGAAAATAGTGATTGGACAAAGCATGCTAATAACAATTTTGTAATTAACTTATCAGATGAAATTTTAGACAAAAATACAACTGCTGCTCTAGGTTTTGGCCTAAGTTTTGCAACTTCAAAAAAACTTAATAATGTTGAAATTGCAAAAGCCTTTTGTAACTTTGAAATAAACTTTATCGTAATAAACTTTATCGCAAATTGTAAAATTTGCGATAAAGTTTATTACGGTCAAACTGGTAAAAATCTCGAACTAAGATTAAAACAACATAAATATAGCATTAGAACTGGACAAGATTCCAATGCTCTATTTATTCATGTAAGAGATTTTAACCATCCAATTGATTTTCAAAAAGTTGAGAAAGTAGTATCAAGCAAGTCCATGGTCGACAGGAATATAATTGGTTTAGAAAGACACGTAAGCAAACACTATAACATATTTATTAGAAAACGTTTCGGTCCTGGGACCTTGATCACTTCTAACATACAGAGGTAGAAAGACATTATATATATAGGCGGAGAGTGAGATTTCCACGTGAACCTTAGGAATGTCATAAGAACATAAGAATGGGGAAAACTGTAGAAGTCCTACTGGCCATGCAGGGAGCCTTATCAAACAACCTCTACCTATGATGAAGACAGGTAGACGATTTTAAAACATGTGACTCCTGTGTTGTTGGTTGTGCTGCTTAAAAATCATGTTTTGCCAATGTTTTTGAAATTTTGTAGTTTTTCCAGTGTTGCGTTTCTATTAGTGTCGGTACGGCGATTAGTGAGGCTTCTAGCACCGTCGGCGTCTGAGGTCTTGGTTCGGTGACAACGATTGTGCCTCATTCCATTCATCAAATCCCCGGGAGTCTCTTGGAGGACAAAAGGCTACCTTACATCGTCTCTGTTAGAGGCATTTCGATGCTCATTCAGGGGGACGCAAGATCTCTGCCTGTCTCGCCTACAATTTTTAGGAAGAACCCTAGGGGATAGTGTAGACGCCCTGTAGAAGTTAAGGTGTTGGGCTGCGTTTCGTATGAGGTCTTTGATAGATGATGTGTTTATGGTGGAAACGTTGGATGTTACTCATAGCAAGTGCCGGCAGTATTCGTGGGAACATCGCCACATGGGAGTATATAATGTTTAGGGGGCTGTTCCAATGGGGTTTGTTAGGATTTGCTTGTGCTTAGTCTGCAATCCGATGAAAAAAGATGGGAACTGAAAACGTGTAAAGGCTTGTGTTATATAAGTGCATTCTTCTTCTAGAAAACAAGGGCTGGAGATGCAAAGGGGCTCTCAAGAAGGAAAAACAATTTGGGGCTCTCTCTTAGTGCGGTGTCTTTGTGTAATAAAAGTGTATAAGACGTCCTTGTTGGTAGGTTTTCTATACACTTTTAAGAGAAGTTTGTCACTGTCGGGAGATCTGCACAGTAGAACGTCGAGGAAAGGAAGTTTGCCATCATTTTCGAGTTCAAGTGTAAACTTTATTGATGGTTCAACTGCATTGATCTTGTTGAGAAGGGCCTGGATATTGAGACGTCTCGGATAGAAAACCAATATATCATCAACGTATCTAAGCCAGGTAACGGTGTTGGGAATGAGGGTGCTGAATTTCTCTGTCTCCGAAACGTTTTCTAATAAATATGTTATAGTGTTTGTTTACGTGTCTTTCTAAACCAACTTGTCGGTATTTATTACCAAGGTTTATACCAGGAATATAATTGAATCTTGTTTCATAAAAAGCAGTTTTGACAATAATATGAATATTTCCTTTGGTTTATATAAATTAGATCCATTTATAATTAATAGAATTTGGGAAGAATTTAATAATACACTGGATAAATAATAATTTTAAAAAATTTTCTTGGGTAGAATAGTTTGTTGGTGGTTGTGCAAAGGACCTGTCCAGTTGGGCCGGTGCGGTTCAGGTGTTTAACTGTTGTGGGATCTGATAGTGAGGTGCTGGCCAGACCCCTTATATAACTTCTTGGATGCTTTTCTTTCATTTTCCTTGATAATGTAGTATCACGAAAGCGTTGAATTTCTCTATTCTTTCAAGTGGTGTTTTGCATATATATATTTATATATATATTATATATATATATTAATATATATATATATATATATATTATATAAATAATTATATATATATAATTTATATATATATAGTGAGAGTGAGAGAGAGAGAGAGAGAGAGAGAGAGAGAGGGAGAATTAGCGAATCTCCAGCTGTGACATGTGCATTAAACGTGTGCATTAAACATGTGTAAGGTTCTCATTTCCAGGTTCCTTTAATGAAATTTATATTTAATTTCTAATTATCTTTGACACTTCATAAATGGCACAAAAACTGTGAACATTTTTCAGCTTCAACAAACATTATTTTGACACAGAACCGTCAGAGTAATTAAACTCTTTTAACAGTTGATTAATTGAGCAGTTTATATCCATTAAGGTTACCTACATTAGGGCTTACCTACATAAAGGTTTACCTACATTATCGTTTTCCTACATTGCGGTTTACCTACATTAACGTTTACCTACGAATGGATTCCTCATCTTTCATTAAAATATTTCAGTGCTTCGCTTGTGTCTTATTTCACACTTGTCATTTGTCGGTATTTTCTAAATCTCTTTTTAGGAAAAAGTTTGTGTACAAGAAGTGGGTGGGTGTGAGAGGGTGTTGATCTGAATCTAACATAGGCCAGTAGGCCTACTCCAGTGCTCCACTAAAGTTCATTTTCTTACCATATATATTATAGGTGTAGTGATGCCGAAGGAAGAGAGTCCTATGGAGACGAGGAGAATTTGGACGGTACGGCTCTTGAGGGTGGCCACATCGAAGAAAGGCGGCTTGTCGTCCTGCCGGTTCTTCTCCTTTACTTTCCTCTTCTGGTTCTTGAGATGGAGGATGGCCCGACGCTGAGGGTGGTACAGGGAGGCTGAGCGGTAGAAAGTTCCCATCAGGAAGGTCAGGAAGACCACCCCCGTCACCGCCTGCAGCCCAAGACGCCACCCAAAAGACCTGAAGATGATTTCTCGTTTACTGCGGGGGCTATTAATTGCTCTTTTTTAGTACTAAAAAAATGGTTGCAACATGACAATTTGCTATTTCTGTTACTGTTTGGGAAAATTGGGTGTGAATAAGATCAACTCTCCTATCCTGTTTTTGGTAATGGCGAGCAGCTGTGATATGTTGAGACTGTGTATCTTATTTTTGTTTGCAAAGATAGGAATGTTGCCTGCTAATTTTCACACTAGTCCTGTCAGGGACTCTAACCTCTATGGAGTTTACGTGGTGATTTTTCCCGGGGGAGATGACCTCTAGCCAGAAGTTAGGGGAGTTGTGGAGGCTTTTATAAGAACAGGGAATGTAGCTGAGAAAAGGATTTTAGGAAACCTATGGTCAGGTGCAGAGCTGGAGTTCTATGCAAGGATGCGTTGATCAGTTTCTATCGGGGAGATAGCCGAGGCCCCTTACTCAGATAAATTTTGATTACCTCCCGCTCCCCAGGGAATGTACGACCCTAACGGGTTTAGCGCTTCCCTCATGACTATATCAATAATCTACCTAGTATACCCCAAGGAAGCCAAGCCTTCTACCTTATTTACGTTGGGGTCCTGAGGTACCTTAGGATGTGACCCACAAATCAATTAGCTGCCTGGTACCTGCTTAGTGCTAGGTGAACAGGGACATGGGCAAGGCGATTCCTCCCTAAGCCTTGCAACACCCGGAATTTGAATCTAGGTTTTTTGTTTTAGGCTGCGAGGAGAATGGTTTATCGCTAATCAAGAGTCGCATAATCAGAAACTAGGAACACAGTGTTACAAGGTGACTTGCAGATTGTTACAAGTTATCTTACTGTGTGTGTTGCTTAGTGTTACAGTTGTGTTGCCAACACTATCGTGGAACTACTACTGCTACCGTAGCTGCTACTACAATAAAACTGAAAAAAATTAATTTTGATTATATTACTAAATTATTACATTATTATATTATTACTAGTATCGTTATTATTACAATTATATTTTTGGTATACAATATAAATATCAAGATAGGTAATTGCTTGTGACAAATATATCACTCGATTATATGCAGAATTTACGTAAAGGCAATATTAATGTGGTTGATATTGGCTTAATAAATTTCTCCAATTGTTGTGTGTAATGGAGTTTGTGTGCCGTTGGTGGCTGGTTGGTTGGTGGAATGGTGATGGTAGAGGCGGTTGGATTTAATGCAATGGTAGTACGGCGGTGGCGTACTGTTCATAGTGTTGAGGCTGGAGATAAAGTAGTGGTTGTGGTACCATGATAGTGGTGGTAGTGAGATGTGGTAGTAGTGGTGTTTTGTAAGTCGTGGTTCTTTCAGTATTGATAGCGAGATAGTTTTAATGCTATGGATGAATTATAGTGCTGGGGTGTTGTTACTGGTGTTGGTGGTGCTTGTGGTGGTGTCGATCTTGCGCTGCTGTTGTTATTAAGGAGTTTCAATTTGCACCTAATTCAAGAAATGACCCAGGCAGGAGTTTTAACTTACAAACTAGTACCCTGAACGCCAATACCTTACAGGGTAATGGAGGCATGATTAGAGAAAGCAATTGGAATTCCCGGAAAGAACTAGCTTCATTACCAATAACTTACATGGATTCAGAGAACACCCCTGAGGTTGGTAGGTAAGACACATAGGCAACAGTTAGGCAACTTTATTCCGAAACGTTTCGCCTACACAGTAGGCTTCTTCAGTCTAATACAGAAAGTAGGCAGCCTACTTTCTGTATTGGACTGAAGAAGCCTACTGTGTAGGCGAAACGTTTCGGAATAAAGTTGCCTAACTGTTGCCTATGTGTCTTACCTACCAACCTGTCGGTATTGTATACCATTTAGATGTTCACCCCTGAGGTGCGGGAAAGTCACGCCTTGAAGACCTAGCTTGTACCCGGCAACGTTTCACTCTGCCTAGAGCTTTATTAGGTATTGATAAAGGTCTATACAGAGAGAAACGTTTTCCTAATAGAGGTCCTGCAATGATTGTTTCCTACATTAATGGCGACAGTAAGCCATTTAGGTCCAAAGAATTCCTGCCCAGATAGGCTGACTTCAATGACAGATGACTAAGATTGAAGCTATGTAGACTAGGGCAAAAAACTGACAAGCGAACATTAAGCCACAGCTACCAGAGAATCCCTTTAATATAACTTTTCGCCCAAGGCTAAGCTTTACCAGCCGATTTTAAAAAAGATTCTCTACTACCGGTGTCTTTATTTCCAGAGCAAAGCAATAAAGAGTAAGGTAGAATGAGTGTAACTTTACTACC